CAAGAACAAAAACTTCGAAATTTTCAATCCATTGAGTGATTATTCAATATCCCTAAATTCCAAAAATCATCAAGAACCCAGAAAAAAAAAATTAGTAAATAAAAAATATCCTCACCGAATTATCAGTATTTTATGCAAAAAAAAAAATAGATTTCACAGAAATAACAAAGTTAGAACTCAACCTTTTTCTATCCAAATTTTTATAAAAAAAAAAATCACATTTGATGCCCATATCTAAAAAGAAACGTATTAAATCCATTTGAAGTGTTAAAATTAATTAATTAAATGAACTAATGTTTTAACAGAAACTTTATAAATTCAAAATTCTGGAACAATTAAATGAAGACAGAACGTTACTCGTGACTTTCAATTAAATAGTACACAATAATAAATATTTCAGCTCATGCAACCAATTAATCTGAATTTTTTTTTAAAAAAAAATGAAAGAATAGAAGATAAGAAACAGAGAAAATACCTCATAATTCAGATGAAACTCCCCATAAAGAATAAAAAATTTGAAAAAAGGATATAGTATATCACCGATTAATATGGGAGAAAATGTGTATAGAGTTTGAATTGTATACAATCACTGTATATTATGTATACAGAGCTATGGAGAAAGGGTCTTTGAGTTTGAGAGAGACAAAACTGTTGAAAGTGCCACGTTTAAGTGGAGCTTATACACATGTTACCACCAGGAAAACACACCGCCATGAAGCTTGCTATTTCTTTTTTATATTTAAAAAAAAAAAAAAAAAACTTTACAAGGAAAATCAATTTTGTCTTCTTTTATATTACTTTTTTTGTCCTAATTTATGTGACACTTTTCGTTATTTATGTGGCAGTTTAAATTTGATTGAAAATTTACGTATAGAATTTTTAATTTTTTTGAAATGAAATTTATATATTTGTAAACTATATAAAAAGTACTATAAGTCATAATAATTGATAATTTAAAATATTTATGAAAAAATTACTATCAAAGATCGATAGATTTGAATCTCAAATTAAAAAAGTGTCACGTAAATTGGAACGGAGGAAGTGTTTGGTTTTTATTGATGTGACCACCCTTAAAAGTTTTAACAAATAAAGTTTTATATTAATATAATAATATTTAATAATTTATAAAGGCAATGACATGATGTCATTTTAAGTCACTAGAGAGGAAAATGTTAAATTTTGACAGATAAGACAACATGTTTAATATATGTTTAATTCTAATTCATATGATAAATAGTTTTATTTTTCAATTATGAATGGTTGTTAGTAGGTCAGTCTCAACAATTTTAATTTCAATTATGATTTGTTTTGTTCATGCATAATTAATTAATAATAAACATAACATCTTCACTGTTTTGTTAGGTTATCTATAAATTTTTTTATTTTTTTTTTTACAATTCAAATTTATACATTTTGATTTAAATTTTGTTGCAAATTCGTCTTCACTTGTTATATGATTGTAATTTATATGAGCAAGATGGTCTTGCAATCGAAGGCGGAATGAGTTTAAAAGAGTTGTGACATTTTCAAATTTTATTTTAAACTTGAATTTAAATGACATGTCTGTTCATAAAATAAGATAACGCTAAAACAACTATTGTCTTTAACTCTATAAATTAGATCTCTCTCATGAATGAGAAAAGGAAAAATCTATAGATATAAACACAAGTTTACATTTGATTTGGTTAGTCAAGAAAAAGAATCCCTTTTCTTCCCTCGAATCTACCTAAAGCAAAATTAACTATGGTACACAACAATGTCTTTGGACCAATCAAGTAGGGATAAGGGTTTGAAAACTTTGGCCGAAATTATTGTTACGATATCAAACTTTATAGAGGACCTATTACCCCCCTGAACTATTTAATAGTGTATTTTAAATGTATATATGTGCCTAAGTGGGCACATTACTATTTATAATTTTGCATTATTTTTTATGTCCACGTGGGCAAATATATATGTTTAAAATAGGTATTAAATAGTCTGGGGGTAATAGGTCCTCATTAAAGTTTGATATCATAACAATAATTTCGATCAAAATTGAAATATTTTTCAGACCCTCATCCCAATCAAGTATGTTGAATTGACAACTAATTTCCAAATTATTAAAGCAAGTATAATCCTATCACAAAAAGTAGTAATTAAAGTAAAAGCTACTATTGGCAGTAGGTGGGGTTTTTTGTTTCTTTCCTTTTTTTCAAGATGTAGGTGGTGCTTCATCAAATACAGAAATTAAAAAATGTGTATTGAGCATGTAACTTAATTAATCATTCTTTCTCATTTTGTTTGTAATTATAATAATTACAAGAAGTTATACCAACAAAATTATGTCATCTTTTACACTACCCATTTTAAAAATTATTTTTACTACTTTTTCGTCCATTTTTACTTATTTATTATTGAACATTTCTTAAGAATCAATAAATAGAATGACAATTATTATACTATTCTTTGAATATAATACACTCAATATATTGGGAAATGACTTTAGTTACATACTACATGATACTGATTGACAAGACTAAGTCAATGCTAGATTGAAGGTTTAGAGATGAATTCTAGAATCCAAAGCGTTCAGGTTAAGTCAGATCAAGATTAATTATTTGGAGTGTAAGTTTTAGTGATTCTACACACGAGGTCGAGCGCCACCTTTGTGTTTTGTACTTCGAATATCATATTATTTTGTTGTCATACTATTTATTCCTATGTATGTTGTATGGTACTCTTCATTTCACATTATTTTGTTATTGTTAACACTTTTATTTGTATTTCTCTTTTTCAAACTACTTGAATATGCTTATTTTAAGCTGAGGACCTATCAAAAATAATTATTCACATTTTTTTAAATAACAACTATTTTAAATTAGCTATTTTTGACGAACACTCCTATTAAATGATCTAGATTCCACATGAAGTAATCTTTTTTTCCTTTAAACTTGTTTTTATGGGAAGATCACATCCAACATAAATCATGTGAGTTGATGAAAAACCAAGAGTGTGTCTTGCCTTTTGTGCAATAAAAAAGGATCAAGACTTGTGACTTTTGATAGGGGTTTTATTTTTTGTGATTTTGTATTTTTTGGACGCGCATAATATAAAAAATTATTTTAGTATAATCATTTAAGTTACATTAAAAAAAAGTAAATTATACTAAACAAATCTCGTGTAATAAGTTCGATTGAAAAAATATGCAGGAGCTTCAACTTGAGACTAGGAAATTTATTAGTATTTTTTATTACGGTTGTGATCGTACTTTGATTATGATTTTATCTTGTTATTATTGTTGTTTAGGATTGGATTTGTCAGGTTATCTAAAGTATTTTGGCATGATTCTTCATTTTCATTATTTCTTTTTCTATACTACTTTGGACTGTTTTTTCCTTGACTTGAGGATCGAAAATTGTCTCTCTATCTATGTACACCTACTGATTAGAAGAGCAACAACAATAATTACATCTCGGTCAGGAACAAATTGAGATTTGAATTTTGGAGGAACAATTTGACTAATTTACTTCTATTTATACAATTTTTAAAAAATTGTTTACCAAATTATTCACTCTCCTCAATAAACATTCACTCCGTATTTATGTGTCTTTTCCATCAAATTTAGATTTTTTTAATTGAAAAATATTAAATAACTTTATTTTTTATTTTTCAAAATGATTCTTTTGGGTTCAATTATGTTTAGTAATAATAATAATAATAACTAAAAAGGACAAGAAGGAATATTATTTTCCTCTTTTAACTCCATATTGCAAAAGTCAATTCTAGTACTATTATAATTAAGAATTTTCGTGGATATTATTGGTTGTCATAGTCACATACACATTGCACTTTAATATTCTTTTTCTTAATTTAAAGAATACTTCCACGATCCTAGTTGGCTAGTCACCCTCAATACAATTGACATAGCCATATGTACTTTTTCTTTATTTTCCACAGAAACACACCTAAATTATCGCAAAATCATCAATTACACATGTAAATTATGTGGAGGTCATATAACCCCGCTGAAATTACACAGCTAAATTATGCCAACAATTTTAGCAAGTCCACAATAATACACAAGAAAAATGAATGTTTTCTCTTCCAAAGAACCGCCGAATTAGTGAATTAGACAGGATTCCTTTGTCTAGAATACGAAGTGGTGGGTCAATTTTCCCAACACCAAGTTTGTGAAAAAGTTATTGTTTGATAATGAGCAAGAAATATCCATTGTTCTTGTTAGAGTGGGTAAAAGTCCCACATTGGTTGAGAAATGAACTGGTGGTTTCCTTATATGGACTTGGGTAATCATCCACTCATGAGCTAGCTTTTGGAGTTGAGTTAGGCATAGATGTCATATCTTTACATGATATCAGAGCTAGATCCATCCTTGTTTGGACTCTCGGTCCACGCTCCAGTTGGGCCTGGGCATGAAGGGGGGTGTTAGAGTGGGTTAAAGTCCCACATTGGTTGGGAAATGGATTGGTGGTCTCTTTGTATGGACTTAAGCAATCCTCCCATCGTGAGCTAACTTTTGGAGTTGAGTTAGACTCAGGTGTCATATCTTTACAGTTCCGTTAAACAAGATGGATTGAACTCATAATTCATTAGATGTTTTTTATGAATGTCAACAAAGTATCATAAGTAAATTGCTCCCGTCCCGGTTGTTCAATCATTTGATTTTGGAACTCCATCATACTTTTGGCTAATTTTTTTTTATTACTAGTACTTCCCTGAATATGAATTCAGAATTTAGAAATGCCACATACTCAGAGCTGTAACAATGAAGAAGCCGCCATTTAATAAATGTCAAACTGATTTGGAACTAAGTATTCACAACTAGAAATGATTTTCACATTTGGAGTCCAGTTGCAAAATGACCATGAAAGATATAGGGTTGGGGGTGAGGGGTAAGAAAATTTGTACATGAAAAAGAGGACTATGCAACCTACAAATCACCTCTGCGAGCTCTTTTACTATCCTTCGTTACCACCTCAGATCGATGTTCCTCCTTAAACGGAGTTTTAGGTCGTGTATATGTCCCTTGTACCCTTTCTTAGCAGCTAACAATGACTGCAATCGAACCTCGGAATCAGCATCACTTGGTTTATGATCATCTCATCCAATGATTCCTGCAATGCTATTTACATTGTTTCAAGAATTGGATTGAAGTTTAGATTTGGAGGGGCGAGGGCGAGCACTTCTTGGCTTCACGGGCAGATTACCTGTTGTTGAGAATGTGAGCAGAGAAGTAGTTGTGTGGTAAGAGCTTTTATAATGGTCATGATATACTTTAGTGACAATGTCTCTGAGAGCCACAGCTGACTTGTGTTCTCTCGTCCTCTTCGAGTAAAATACAATGGCGTTGGTTGCTAGCAAAAGTAAATCTCTAAAGAGTTCACCTGGTGATTTGATGGAACAGCTGACTAATCTTGATCTTACTGTTTCAATATCCATATGCTGCTTGATCATTTCCTTATATTTAGCTCTCTTCTGACTATCGCAACGATGCCTAAAGACCATAGCCGCTTCATTCTGTATAATGGAATTGAAAATTGCCATCAAATCGTCATTCATCAACCTAGATAATCCTTCTTTATTATCCTCTGTGGCAGTAGGCTTAATACTTTGGTCGCAACTGGTTGATGTTTCCTTACCGTGGGAAAGGGAGATGCCACTGATTGAGCACACATTGTCGCTCTCCCCAATACTCCTTTTGACATCCAAAGCAACGTCTTTCCTTTTTCTCTTCCTCAAAGCCCTTCTTCCATTTCCATTGGTAGTCTCTGCTTGATTGCTTATATTTGGAACTTCAGCCGCCTCACAAGACTCCGAGTATTCTAGTTTTGAGTCTATCTCATTAGCCGAAGCTACTGCAGGACTCTCAAACTCAGGCGAAAAGTTGGTCCTAGTACTGTCTAGCATGAAGTTGCCAGCGCATATGCCATCTTTGCCAATAGATTCCATGCGTTCTGACTTCACATGAGCAGCGAGTGATTCAGTGTAAGTACCGGACCCATAATTAATCTGAGAAGACCGTTCTTTCTCAGCCTTCAGGCTTTCAATCTTTGTGACGAGAGACCTGAGATTAAACACATAAAATTTGAGCTAGAAAACTGAAGTGAAGGGACAAAGTTCTCAAATCAGAAACCACCTGTTAAGCTGCGGAAATGTAGATACACTCAGTATGGTCAAGAAACATAAAACACGGTATATTTGAGAAGCACAAACCTAAGACAGAGAAGCATTATACTAACCCAATTGAGCTTTCCGATTTCTCCAATTCTCGCTTCAGTTCTTCAACTCGTCTCTTTCTTAGCTCTTCAAACCAAGCACTAAGAAAGCGAAAGGTAAAGAAATGAGACATCGATTACAGTAAAGGATAAAATACTAATGTGTAAATTTTTCTCCAATTTATATTAAGTGAAAAGAAACCATATAATCAATCCCAAACCTTAGCATACAACAACAACAACATACCCAGTGAAATTCCACAAATGAGGTTTGGGGAGGGTAGAGTTGTAAACATACCTTACCCCTACCTTGTGGAGGTAGAGAGGCTGTTTCCGGAGGACCCTCGGCTTGAGTACCGCATACCAAAGCTTAGTATCGATCCTAGGCATAATAAATTCAAACGCCAATTCTTAACGCCAATTCTTTTGGCATGTGCTACCAATATACTAGTAGCGCAGTCATAAGCTGAACTAAGCATTTTTAGAAGCCATAGCTGTGACATGGACTCGATGCACAAAAGTAAATTAGCTCATGAGTTTGAAGAAACTGACTCACTTGCAGCCAGCGTAACGCTTTTGTAAATCCTCATACTTGGCTTTGCAGGCCTGAAATTAAGTATTTTTTTTGGTCAAATCAGCATTTGATAGAGTAATTGTATGCTTAAAGATAAGGATGGTGAATAAGAGGAGATCAAGAAAGACAACATGCCAGTGAAATAGATTACTTGCATCATTTCCCAACGGTTTAACTATATATGTAAAACTAGGTACTCTCCTTATACGGGCAATTTCGTGTATCGTCAATGCGCTATTCCCCTATCGTTTATCGGGAAGCATGAAAAAATCAGTTTCCAACAAATCCAATGTAATCTCACAAATAGGGTCTGGCACCAGAGATATTGTTGACTGGCACAAGAATAGAAGTCCTTGCTTACACTTTTCTTTCTACTGGTTGGCTTACCCTGTATTTCAAGAGTAAATACCGTAGTGAGGAATAGCGGTACCTCTATTTGTTTGGTCTAATTAAAAGATTATTCATCACCGCAAGCACTCTTGCTTAGCTACCACTTGTCTTTGCTTGCTTACTTCTGAACAAACCAGGCCCCTAGTGGTCCTTATCTTATCAAGCCACACATGGAGACATCTCAAATAGGTAAATTGGTTTGGGAAGACGGAAAAAGCATCCATTGTTTAGGTTTTTGAGTAGCTAAAGTTAAAATAGAATAGGTCATCACATCCTGGGTTGAAAAATGAGCAACTTTAAAAAGGAAATGACAAGCAGGAAGGAGAGTAGTAACGTCGTATTATCCATCCGAAGCAGTAGCAAGCCAAGCACTGGTCTTTCTATCTTCTGACACATACTTATGAAGTTAGAGAGGTTGTTTATGAAAGAGTCTCTCCTCGACTCAATCAGCCTAAAATCTTTGAAATGAGAAACGGAAATGTTAATAGGGAACCAAATACAATACAACTTGAGATATTAGTTACTACAGTATTATTTATACGACATAAAACGTAAAGTCTATTTTAAAACAATTTATAATTGACTTATCCCAATTAGTTACTACAAGGGCCCCACAAAATCTATTTCTACATAAAAATAAAATAATTTTAAAAGTTAGGTACTACGTTAATCGTTATATCAAATAGTAACTGATACTATTAGACCAAACATTAGTATTTACTTTTACTAATTAATTTGGTTTTTATTATTAATAATAGTCATTTTCTAAAGCAAATTTATTAATTACATTCAATCATTCTGTCTATTATTTTTTGAACGTGTCAAGTCAATAATGAACGTAAATTAATGTGAACCTGAGGGGTGAAGTAAATGTTACGAGAACGAAGCTCCAAAGCGACGACGTTCCAGTCTTGTATCCCATGCCGGAGAATAGCGCCACCTAGGATTAATTCCTCCCAAGTACCCCACTTCTTCTTTCTGGGCCCTACTTCTTCCCTCATACGTGTACGATTCTCAACAGTCTCCATCCACGTGGACGGCTCAGATGATTTTAGAGGAACAAAGTTTCGAATTTTATACCATGCGCACGTTAGCTTCAAACACCGCCGGCACCGGCACCGGCACCGGCGAAACTTGACCAGGTTTAGAGTATTTCGTACCGCGCGCAAGTTAGTATCAATCGCCGATACGACCACATCGGCGGTACCTCCGATGAACTTGATCGGGAAAAAAAACAGGATTTTCCGGTGTGCAAAAAAGTGATTTATTAGAAAACTTTTGTGAGGTGATGAAGAAAGAAAAGGTGGAAATCTGATTATACAAAAATGGTTTTTTATGGCAAAGGAAAAAAAAAAGATGGAAAAGAATATAATTATTTTTTAAAGTTGAAAATTGGGCTTTGGAAATGAAATCTGATTTGGGCTCAATTTTGGAGGAAAACGATAAGTTGGACAATTGGCCCAATACTTTTAGACATCCTACTGCTTTTCTTGACCCAATAGTTATTGGAAAAATTACTTGGGTGAATACTTATTAATAAACTAGATGAGTGTTGCCCATGCTAAGCATGGGCCCAATATTTAAAATTTTATCATAATTTTATTTCTGTTTGATTTACTATGAAATATACTTGAGATTCAACGCAGTAAAAAATATTTTTAAATAACATAATTTCAAAAATCCCAATGTTCATCATTTAATAAACGAATCATATTTTTTAGTCTGCACAATAAAATAATCCACATGGAATAAGATACAAGCGAGAGACACTATTATTTTTCTTTCAAGTTTCAACAATTAGTTCAATATTAAATTGGGCAAACGTTCATAATTTAGTATCCTTGTTTTATCAATATTTATATTATAAGAAGGCGATCGATTATTATTACATAGGTATTAAATGAACGACATAAAATCTACTTGTAAAGCACAGTTCATTATTATTCTTTAAAAATTAAATGAATAAAAAAAATACTACTTAAAACAATTTGCTATAATTAACTTTGATTGTCATGCCAAAGGTATATTAGTTTGGTGTAACAGTATATATAGCTTGCTAATGAACATGTACTTTAGCTTTCTAATGTTGTGAGTTCTATTTCATCTATAATTAAAATCTATCTTAAACAACATGTTTTAATGATAAGAAAAAAACAGTTCATTTCCAAAAAATGTGAACTCAAATCAGTCAGCCTGAAAATTGAGACACAAAATTCAAGTAAAGGGTTGATGTAGTTAAATGACATAATAAGAGTATAGAGTGTAAATGTTAACAGATCATTGCATTAGTTATCTTGCTTTATAGCCACATTTATCTTTTACAAATGTCAGATCTAATAGACTTAAAACACATGAACTTTAAAGTGCAATAATACAACTAATTTCTCCCATTCCACAAACAACTTTAATGCAGACAGGTATCTTCTAAATACTCTTCAATTGTTAGTACCAATCATACATACGAATACATGTTAGCCAAAAGACATTGTGGCTACTTTCCCTGCACATTTGATTTAAAACTATAGGATATCAAATCTAGAAAAGTAGTGGCAGTAATGGATGGAGTAACTACACGGCTGCAACGTATAATTTATATTGGACTTAAATTATAATTCAATGAGAAAATTACTAATTTAATCACATTATAGCTGCCAAATTTGTTCATTATATATTCATGTGAATGTTGAAGTGAGATACTTGCATAGTTTAACATTTCCATAAGTAGGAGTGGTAATTACATACATTTACATACTATTTTCAATTAGACAAAAACAGATGCATCTTTCATGCGTGGATTTTCTGGACCATCTTTAATCAAAATCACCTGTTACATTAAAATTGATGGATTAAATATCAGCACAGAATCACATAACTTATACAACACATGATATATCTATTAGCAAGTCTAGGATCTATAAATAATACAATCTAACTTTACAATATAGGCACTAAAAACAACAGCAAACAATGTAACGCTAATAATAGAAGCACTATAAATCACATGGCCAAGACACTTAACACTCAATAAACTTACATATTCTTTCCTTCCCAACAACAACATACCCAGTGCAATTCTACAGGTGGGGCCTGGGGAGGGTAGGATGTACGTAGACCTTACCCAACCTTCAATATTATTTCCTTCCCACTGAACAAAAGTGAATTTTATAACAAAAGGTTATAGAAAGATTTTCTGACCCTGAAGATGGGGACATGTGGTACCTCTGTCGCTTAAAATTTTCATGATCTTTGACTTGCAACATTTTATTTCTGATTAAGCAGGCTTCTAGCAGACTCATTGACAGGTTTATAGTCCAAGGGTCCAAGCTAACAAAAAAGATTCTATAGGAATGTGAGGAAGCAACTACCAAGCACTGATGGGGTTGCGAAGTGTATTTAGATTTTTTTTTTTATATTCTCTAACGTAGATCTGAAAACCATTATAATCAGATCAATGCAAAACTTTTGAAGTAAAGGAAGTTCATAGATATGATGGTATTTCTCCTCAATGATTAGGAGCAGGGTTATCTACAGGATATATTGTTGTGAGGGTGGAGATAGAACAGACACTGATTGCATGAGGCTGAGAAAGGCGCAGTTCTGAGCTAGCCACTTTGTGAAAAGAAATAAATTAAAGAGAAAGCGGACAGATACACCAATTTCTATTTTGAAAATAACATAATAGATGCACAATGCAACAAAATTACCCATAGATGTGCAGAGTAAAAAAAGACTTCAAAGTATTCTATTATCATGAATTGTTGTTTAATTGTGTTCAATAAACTCTTCATTCCATGTTGTGTTTTTCGGCTTCGGGCGGAGAGAGTTTATTCTCACCAAGCATTTCCACTATTAAGCTTCACTTGGATTTTGACAAACTGTATTTTTATTCAAAGCTAACAATGTCTTGTAAGATTCATTTGACAATTTTAACGTTGGGACTTAGGACAGGGTTACACCTCCAATCACTGTAGGCATGTTGGGTATATGTTGGAAATTTATATACCTGAGCAGTGATGGAAAAGTGGCTGTGCAATAGGCATGTGAAGAAACAATTAAACAGGCTCTATCTGCCAGAAGCTAACAATGATAAAAAGCCCTAACTGGGTTGTACCTTTCATGCTGAAAGATGATTTCCCAAATTTATCTGTTGTTACTAATTACTATAAGAATGTTACTCTAGCTTAACTGATTAATAAGGTGGAACAAGGGTGATCTTGCATTTCGACTCTTTAAAGGAAGAATCGAAAAGCTTTCCCTTATGATCAATGTAAGCTATCAGAAAAAATTCAAACAAATAAACAAGGAGAAATTACTGAAGAGATTGGTCTAATAGTCAAATTTAAATCAAAATAGGCAAATAGTTCTACCAGATAGATTTGATTTCACAAGTTTTTAATTACTAACTGTTATTTCGTATGGTAATTTTTGATTCTATTAGTTTAAGGTGGTTATTCCAACAAGATTAATCGAGGAAAGTTACATCATCTATTAGGAACTAAAAATGAACACAATAGTCTTCAGCGATAACAATATTATAATACCTGAAAGAATATATTTTCATTTAAGTTGATAAAAGAAGTACCTGTAAAAAGATAACTTTTAACTAACTTGGTATTACAGGAGAAAATATTTTCAATTTCCACAAAAGAACAGGAACACAAGGCATCCACATAGCAGCATCAGAAGCTTGCAAAACACGACATTCAGTGGCAGCAGCAAAAAAGTGCAAAAAATGATCGTTTCGAGAACCACAACAAAAGTGTTCCAACTGCAATTCAAAACAATAAAAAGATAACGTGTCTAGAGACCGTATAGAATTCAAAGAAGATAAATGCAAAGATAAGTAAATCTTATTTATATTAGTCAATTGCAAAGATGAAGTTTTAAACAATGTACAAAATAATTTAAATACCTTTTAATTCTTTTTCATGGGAGAATTTTTCATTTTCATGCTATGTTTGTGGGTGGAAGGATTATATTTGTTTGCCATGCTTGGATATTCTTTTTCCCCCTGAACTAAGATGTTCAATTGTGCGCTTTTTCGCATCTGTAACATTGACAGTCGTAGATGTCATTGGTTTATGAATCACATCTTGTTTCTCCAGGTAAGACAAAATGAATAATTTTTGCGTTGCATCCAATTTTTTTGTGAATAGCCTTTCATTTGAATGTTGAATATCTTGCCGTTCAATTGATCTTCCACATTTTGGAGGCAACAATGTTCTTTCTGAAAAAAAAAGAATAAAAATTGATTAATAATAACAAAATCAATAAAGCGAACATACAAATAGAAAGAGATTGGATATTTTTACCATAAACAAAGATGATCAACAACAATAGCATATGCAAGGATCATGAATTTTCGAATGAAAAGAAAAGTGAATGAGGTAAGAAAAGTAAATGACAATAAAAATATTAAATTTGTTTTTAAAGGAAAATTAATATCTCTATGTTTATGTATTTACATCTGAATTGAAATTCAATATTAAAGGTCTTTCAACTAATCGAAGTGTAGGTGCGCATGACAGTTTATGCACAAAGCGCTCAGCCAATGGGTAACCATGTGAGATGGATAAAAGCCAAAAAAATATATACAATGATAATATTTTTATAAAGAAAGTTGACTGTAAACAAACAACAAAAAGTATAAATTGGGTGCTGGAGAAAGAAACACGAACATAAGATATGAAATTTTGATTGAAAAAAGTACACTGAACACTTTACAGAAGGAGACGTTGACGACATAATGTAAGAGATAGACCCAAAGTATGTAAAGTTAAAACCTCTTTTAGAGTTAAGGCATGACCTAGAATCACATGTTCCTCCTATAAGAGTTTTTACAACTTACATGATACATTAAAATAGATCTTTATTACAAATTCTTTCATGCTAGAAAGCTTATAGAGTTATAGTATCCTTTTTAAGTTAAGGAAGTCATATGTTCACTTGATCATATGTTCATTCAGTTGAAACTCTTAAAAGTTAGATAGTGTATTTTTCACGTAATTACAGAAAGTAATTGGTCATAGTTTAAGTACATATATACATATATGATTAGTAATCTTAAAATAAGTAATTGATAATTACATATCTTCGCACGCAAGATAATATTATAGCCTACTCTATAATGTAGGGTAGATATTTCTAGGATTACTACTTGTGATGTTATTATGTGCATATAATTTAGAGAGTAGTGAGTTAGAACATCTTATCGTAGATTCGCTTAACTGTTAAAAGCCAGTGGACAGACTTTATAGGAGACCTTGAGGGAGAGTTGAATTATGTGTTAAGAGTAGAAATAAGAAACAATGAAAATACAAAATCACAACAAGTTCTTTGTGATTATTTGGTGAGAAAATAGTGAAATTTCATAAATTTCTTCTGAAGTGAGGTGCAACATTTTTCTGCAATTTCATCGAAACAATAGCTGTTGCAAAACCGGCTGTCCTTAATAGTAACTTCAAATTGACATCTGTTTTGATATATTAATGAAAATTAAAAAATAATGGTTAGTTAAGACATTTATTTCTTTGAAAAAACAAAATAAATATTTTTAATTAGTTATTATTAATTTTGAAGAAGAGCAAATATACCTAGGAATAAGATGTGTGGATTGGTGACAACTTGTGCAGTAGATTTCCCTTCGCACGTTATATCTCGTGAACAATTGCTTACAATTTGAGCATGCCAACACACTAAAGCGTTGATCCTTACTTGCAAGGGACAATTCAGCCTCAACATTAAATACTTGTCCCTTCAAATTCAATATACCAAATTTATTTTTTACTGGAAAAATAAAAAAAATTATAAAAAATAGAATAATATACTTGTTGTTCTTACCGGAGGTTGTGCTTGATGTTAGCCATAGATATAACCTCATCCTCAATGGAATCAACATAATAGAGCCTATTGGAGTTGTACTTTTCATCTTATAAGTAACAAGCTTTGTTTCAATTGTTTTGATCCTATAAACAAGTAAATTATGAAAATGTCTTGTAAAAAGATAAGGAAAAAAAAATAAAAGTGAAATTTTAAAACTTTGTGATTGTAAGATTAGAGATGTGTTTTATATCTCAAAATATTCTGGAATTTCGATCATTAAATAAAAATGTATATTACCACGTCCTTAATTCGGCAACCTGTGGATATGGAGGATTGATTTCAATTGTTGTATTGAATTTGCTCGTCAAACCAACGAATCTATTCGGCATTCCTACGTGCATTTGAATATGTGATTTTAGTTTCATCATGTCATATATTTTTCAAAAAGAAAAAAAAAACTATTTGCACTTTTACCTGAGGATGATTTCCCAATTCTCCTAGCAAGAATGATTGGGTAATCATGAAGTTGGTTGAAAAGTTGAACCAAGAACATGAAAAAGATAAGGAGGAACAACTGCCAGGGTATCATTGTGCCCATTTTTAATGCTGCATTTATAGTAAATTATAAGGTGATGCTGGCTGTGAATGTAGCTGCAATGAGCTTGTCATTGTTATCATGTGGAGGAATTGGTACTTTCTTGAGCACAAGTCCTATGGTGAAATCTTTTCCAAGAGTTTTATTGGAGGCAGGATGGCTATGGTCATTACCTTTTGCCTTACTAAGCTGATTGGCTCTACTACAAGTATTTCTTTCTCTTTTGGATCAAGTCAGTCTAGCAGATTGGGCATTACACTACCAATAGGAAAAATACTACCAATGAACTTATGGATCCACATATTACAGGGGAGATTATAAAATAATGTTTGAAGCAATTGATCAATACAACAGTGAGTTACTTGTCTGATCACAGAACTGATCATCCTTCAATGGGTTCAGTGCTGTGGAATCTTGAGTACTGCCTTTAGTCGTAAAGTGATCTTGATGAATTGAAAATGGTGGTAGAACAGAAAGCTAATGATGCTTATGCTATGCATATAGAATTGTTAACGGTTGCTGAAAAAGGTAAGGAGTCAGAGGAGCACACAATGTTGAGACTACTTACGAAAGGGTACTAAAGAAGGCAAATAATTTCATCTTGTTAATTGAAAAACTACTTAACTAAGCAGAGTGCATGATGGACTGTATACACAAATATATAGTCTATTCGTCATAGACTCGTAAGACATAAACAGTTTATTCATCACACGACAAATTTCGTACACAAACAGGTTTACATGTATGAGTCACAAACAGGTTTAAAACCAAGAGGAGGTAAATAAATGCTAAACATATAACGTTTACATGTTGACAATATGTGATTTTTCTATAGAAATTGCAGGTTGCATTATTATGGAGAAAAACTATTAAGATGTCAACGTAGAGGTAGACACAATCATTACTACCTTTTTTAACATATAGTTTCATAATGAAATAAATGTATTTTTTTAATTCTGTAAGGTAGCATCTATATGATCACTATTAAGTATAGAAGATTGAGAAACTTGTATCAATTATAAATCAGGTACTCCGATATTATTGAAGGGAGCACACAACACAATATAAATACCAGAAAAATCTCTTAGTTAGCCACCTCTAATATTTTCCCTAATTTTTGCTTGTGGTTTTTTCATAGCAAGTTTCTATGCCGACAATAACATATGATAGAGGAGATGACATAGGAAGAGGAGAAGATCAAAAACAAGTAATTAGATATGAAGATAAATGACGAGTGATATTCTATATATACTTACAG